GCAAAGAAAGCTCCAGGGTTAATTTTTCCGGATATCAGTTTTGATAAAGGCATACATTACTATTTCCAACAACAAATTATGTGCCTACGCTCATTAACATTATCCCATAAAAAGTAACATTATCCTTATTTCTGGATAATTTCTCTCTTAATATAGGCTTAAACTCTGAATGTATTATTTTTTCCCCTTTATTTAGTGCCTTTCGAGTACTTGACTTGGTGCACACTTTGTAAAGTTGAGATATTTTATAAAGCTTTAAAGGAGACAAATGTGAGACCCCCAGAGTCTTTAGCTTAAAGGGGTCATATGATGCTGCTAAAAAGAACATTATTTTGTGTATTTGGTGTAATGAAATGTGTTTATGCGGTTTAAAGTTAAAAAAACACATTATTTTCCACATACTGTACATTATTGTTTCTCCTCTATCTATCGCCTTCTGAAACGCGTCGATTTTTACAAAACTAATCGGTCTGAAAAGCGAGGTGTGCTCTGATTAGCCAGGGCGCGACTCGGCAGTATGTTTAAGATTTCCCTTTGCGACCAGCACAGATCAGCTCTAGGCATGGCGAAGCGGATATCGTCCTCTTTTGGAAGACCAAAGTAGCTTCGCTTTCACAACGAAGCACACAGCGTCTTCACGACATGGCGGCAGCGGCAACAACAATATTACAGCGAGAATAAAAGTTACTCCTTCTTTCTTTGTGTGAACATTTGGGCGGTGTTATGCAAATCTTCCCACATAGTGAGGTAGATATGTGGGGGCGTGTTCGAACGAGCCGTTTTAGGGGGGTGTGGCTGACTCTTAACTTTTATAAAGAATATCTCTTTGGATTTGAGACTTTAGTCTTTGCAACTTTACAGATCTTCTTTATGCACCAAGAGCTTGTAACACTCCAAAGAGAAAGGAAAAAATGAAATTGCATCATATGACCCCTTTAAGAGAAACATGGTGTGTAGTGTGAGAGTGGCATTGTTTGTCGGATATAGCAACAGTAGCTAATGGTGGGAGGGTCTTTGCGATCAATCACTTACGTCGCCACAACGTAACTTGCACAATGTATCATGCACACGTCGACAATGTTCAATTTCCAAATATTCACAGACTGATATCAGTTCCTTTTTCTATTTATCTCAGACAGTTCTCTGTCCTGTATAGAAAAAAAACAGTCTCTGTGCAGGAATAGTTTTACCTTAAGCAGGGAAAAAAATTTGAAATCGCAATACTCTCCTGGTCCTGTAGGAAGAAATTTCTTCTTTCTCTTCCAGTGTCCGAATAGGTTGGCTCGCCATCAACTAAAGTCAATCTCAACTCAAAAAAAAACCTGACCTGTTCAAAAGGCCAGAAATGCACGACTGCATTTAGTCAACAATAGCATCACATTAGGTAACATATGTTACTTAACCAATCTAATATATTTGTTGAACTTTTTTGGTATAACTGTCCAGAAACAGAGAGAAATGTCAGACGCCATCCTCTCCAGCAGCTTATGTGTTGCAGCAAGACAATAGAGATCTCCCATCCCTGCGTTCCATTTGGAAGGGCTCATCCCTACGCCCTAATCCCTTCAAAGGGTTTACCCTCCGGAGTGAGAGCTTCGAAAGTTTGAAGGGTGTAGGGGACCAAACAACTGTTTCTTGAAGTGCCCTTCTGTGTCATCATCACGTGCCCACACGGAGGCACCATCATCATGCAAAGAATCTGCGCAAAGGATCATGGGAGCCTGAAGTGTCCATTAGTTGTACCCTTCGAAATCCTTCATTCCGAAGGGCCCTTTGAAGTGGCCAGTTTTGAGCACTTCGTTTTTGGAACGACCCTTTAATATGGCGGCCATGATTGTTTTCACTCGAAGTGCCCTTCGGAGGGCGATAAATTCCGTTTGGAACGCACTGCATGTTTCTCACACATGTTTCTCTTCTATAGAGAATGTGAAGCTATGTCACGCCGCGTTGCATACTGGGGCGCCGCCGCCATTTTGAGAGGATCACCCACTGCTACAAATGCTGAAATGAATACGGATACCTGCTTTTGACTTCCCCTGATCAGTTTTGATGCAGGTTGGCAACACTGGAGTGTGACTGGAGCAGAGATGGAGGGAAGTGACGTAGGATCAGGAAGTGAGCTGGACATAGAGGATGAATGTAGTGGCGGGGAGAGAGGAAGTAAAAATGGAAATTGGAATATAGTAGAAAATCGAAAAAGGAAAAAAAATGGAATCAACTTTCTGGTTCGGAAAGTGAAAGGGAAAGACAGCAGGAGAGAAGGAAGAAGGAAGAGTTTAAGGTAATGATAAAATTCATGTCTGATAATATGAATGCATTAAACCCACTGAAAATAACTAAAGCGATCAAAGAAGAGATCGGGAAAATCGAACATGCGAAAATGTTACGGAATGGAAAGTTGCTGCTTTTTTGTAAAAATAAAAAACAGGTACTAGGCTTAAAGATGCTAGCAGGGCAAAAAAATTTGTGTACACTGTTGGAAGAGAAGAAATGGATGAAGGGAGTAATAACAGGGGTCTCAACGGATGTATCAGAAGACACAATCAAGAGAAGTTTATCAGGGGCAAAAGTGGTAGGGGTCAAACGTCTGAAATATGTCAGAGAAAAAGAAAAGCTGGATAGCTTATCTGTAATGGTGCAGTTTGAAGAAGAAAGTATTCTTTGGGTTTATAAGCTATGCTGTTAGACCAAGCGTTTTCCTCCCTTTAGAAAATCGTAATGAAGAAAACGCTTATGCATTAAGACAGTATTTAAAGTTCGTATTTTGGGTTCATCAGTTTTTCTGCAGATATTATGCTTTATTAAGTAGGCTAAGGTGTGTAACGTTACAGAATGTGGTCTTTTAATACCACTATCTCTGTACATTAGGCATTCTTTATATGATAGGAAAAAACTTGGTACATGGTACATTGAGCCACACGAAGCGTTATTTGTGTTAAGCGTTTTAATGTCCCTGTTTCAAGTTCTGCTCACAAGCCGAGTGAGAGTCATACTCGCGAAGGTGATGTTATTTATTAAACCAAACAAAATGAAAACTTTCAAAAACACGCAGCAATATGATTCTTTTATTTGAGTGACGGGCTGTGGGTTTATTCGGTGAAATTATTAATAGATTTACTATCTGGCGTCTTGTCATCTCCGCGACCTGCTTCTTGGGGTTTTTAGACGTAGAAAAGGCGAAAAATACACTGCATTGTCCAGTTTTCTCTCAGAACGATGATCAGAGTTACTTTTGCAATTCTCGATGCAGCATGAATGACATATACAATGGTGACATTTTCCACAATCACAACAGAAAATCAAAATACTGCCCTGAACTCAAAAGCGGAGAGGCAGCGCGATACTCTCAGTATGGCGGATAAACAGTTTCCCAGAACTCGGCTTAACATTCTCTATTGTCATTTTGGACTCCATTGTCTCAGAGCTTCTCATGTCTCAGTTGTGTCTACTTTTATTTCTCCTAAGGAATGTTAGGAGTAACATCTGAGACACTGTTGAGACTAAAATGAGAAATACATGAGAATCACAACTAAGTCTCATGAGCTTAGAAAGAGCAAACTCTGAGAAATAAAATATTCCTATAATGGAGTCTTGATAGAGATTGCAGCAAGACAATTAAGAGATATTTTGTTTACTCCACCACATTCTCAGTTTTTACTCTTTTTTCCAAAATATTCCTCATATCTCATTTGTGACTACTTTTATTTCTCCTAAGGAATTTTAGGAGAAACATCTGAAATGCTGTTGATACTTAAATGAGAGATATATGAGAATCTCATCTAAGTCTCCTGAGCTTAGGAAGAGCAACCACTGAGCAACAAATTTCTCCTCTGGGAAGTGCTCTAAGTGATACAATATTAACAAAGGTGGAAGCAGATATTACTCAAAGATAAAAATGTATATGGTGAAGTTTTGTCTTCTATAAAACACATGGATTTAAATGTAGTGCCTACTAGTTGATGGTAACAATTTTATTTATGAATGAGCAGAAGCTCTGAAACAGGCTATAACAGAGCAGTGGGAAAGAAAAGAGGGGAAGGCAAGAGAGAAAGCAGAGAGAGTCTCTTTCTCTTTGAAAGCAAAGCACTTACCACTATGTTTATGAGCTATGACTAAGAGCTTTAATAAATGTCAGTGGCTTGTTATTTATAAAATTGTAATTAAAAAAAAAAAAAAAAATTGCATGTCATTTTTTTTTACATTTAAATGTACTTTAAATGTTTATGGGTTTAGCTACTGAATCAGAAAACTCAAGCACTGTGCCATAATCTAGTGTATAGAGCTTATTTCATATAGAAGAGCTGTTGTGTTTAGGGAACACATCCAATCCGGACTGCGTATGATCCCATTCATTCTCTCTTGATACTCTCCTGTCAGCAAAATTATCAGATGAGAACAAGATTGACAGTAAGGTGTAATGTTTAATATGTATAAATGTGGCATGTACTGAGCATAATAATAATAAGGCTGATAAATTTTCAAATTATAAAATAATGATAAAATAAAGTTTAACAAAACGGTCCAGAACGACTCTAGAAAAGTTAAGACTGGAAAACCAAAGGATTATTCCCACAGGATATACTCTTAATTTATTTGGATTAAAAAGAAAGATAAACATACTGAGTGAAAGAAAGGATGCCCATTGTAGATGGTCATTCACAGCAAAGTTTGTACATGCTCAATTATAGCAATGGTCTAACATTTTGTTAGTCTTAAAAACTGAGAAAAAAAATCTGAGAAACATATTTGTTGAAAATCAGAGACACATCTGTAAATGTTTTGAATAATCTAAGTTTTTGTTCCCTTTACATGTGGATTACACATGTACATGTACATGTACATGTGGACATGTAAGATTTAAGTTTATATTGTGTTCTTTGTAGATAACATTTTTGTAGGACTGATAATTTTGGGCACCTTTCATAATAGGTGATACTGGTGTAAAAATATCATCTGTAAACAAAATTACAACAAAAACATCTGGTCTTCTGAACTTCTGCTGGGATATGTTACTGTAAAGCATACATGGAAATAATGAAACAACCTGTTTAGTTTGAAAACAAAAAATCGATAAGATCAATAAGCAATTTCAACGGATGAAAGCGAATGAAATAATTGTTGTTCTCAGCTTCAATTCTTACCTGTTCATCCTGATCCTTAGCTAATTGCCTTTTCATTTTCTCTCGTTCTTCATGCACAAGATTTTGAACCTTACGCTCTAGAGCCTCCATCTCCCTCTTTCGCTGTTCTTCAGTCTCCTTCATGATCCTTTGTTTCTCCTCCTCAATTGCTCTCTCTACTTCCTGAAGCATTTCATTAGTGTAGTATTGTCCACCATTAATACTAACCATTTCATCAATTTTGTCTAGCAGCTGCATAACCTGTGCTCTATCCTGTTTGTCATTGTCAATCACAAAGCAGCGCTCCCCACATTTTCTGACAAAATTCGGTAGTTCTGAATTTTCGCTCACAAATGTTTCAATATCCTTCCCTTTAAGTTGATTTCCATGAGTGAACAGTGCCATGGTATAAGGTATTGCATCTTTACCAAATAATCTTTCAATAAATTCTATTGTTTTTTCATTTTCTTCTGTGAATCTTTCCAATTTAATAACAACTAGGAAGGCATGTGGACCTGGAGCAGAATAAGATATACACATCTTGATTTCTTTCATTACCTTTTGTTTACTTTCTTCATCTTTTCTTGTGTCAAAAAGGCCAGGTGTGTCAATAATTGAGATTTTTCTCCCATTAATAATATTAGATTTCTTTTCACAGTCTTCGGTAACAGATGAAGCTGAACTATTGGATTCGAAGACTTCCTTTCCCAGGATGGTGTTTCCTGTTGCACTTTTTCCAACCCCTGTCTTTCCGATCAGGACAATCCGGATCTCATCTATCATGTAATGATTTATGAAACAGATAATTATAATAAATAATTTCAATGATTCAATCATGTTAATAATCATAGCAATTCTATTAGTTTTGTTTATCCATACAAAGCAAAAAACACCAATTTAAGACCAATTTAACTGACATAATTTTACCTGTCTCTGATTCAGCATTGAATGAAGTGTTGGTCTCATTTTTCCTGATCTGCAAACAAGTATATGAATATATAATGTTCATTAAATTATTGATGCCTTATAGGTGTGATTTTAAAAAAACAATTATCATAATTTTAAGTATTGAAATGTCTTTAAACAAGAAATTATTCATTTATTTTGCTGTTTAAAATGATAAATATATTAACCTTCCAAAAAAATGTTTATTTCCATACTTAGTTGTTAGGCATCCTGTTCATTATTTTGTGATTGTGTAAATAATCAAGTCACAATTAATCAAAGTGTCTGAGCAAGTTTAAGCGTGCAAGTTTGAGGAGGATTGTACACAAGGCCCTCACATATTCACTGTACACACCTCAAAACTACTGCATTGCAGGAAGAATGCATGTACACGCTTTTGCTGTCTGATAAAGGATAATGTTCTTTTCAAGCAGCATATTTAGAATATTCCATCAGTGCCTAAGGGCTTTTCATATGCAGATGCTGTCAGTGATTTATAGTTTAAGGCATAGCAAAAATGCTACTTTTGTTAAACTAATATAAAAGCTATTCTGAAGGCACAGAGCAAGAGTCAAAACAGCAAGCAATGATATTTACATAGTGATAGAGATAATTACCCGTAAACCAGCTGCAACAACACCACAGAAAAAAGACCAGGAAAGCCAGGACTTGGATGCTTTAAGGCAGTGTTACTCATTGCGCGGCTCGCGAGCCTCATGCGGCTCGCCAAGCTTTGATGTGTGGCTCGCATGGCAGATGGCAGTAAATAATGCGATGATATGATCAATACAGATATTTAATAAAAACATTAAAAACAAGCAGGACTATGTCTAAGCCATTATAAAAACTCACACCGTGTCTACACTGGACACAAGCGTCGTGGTGTGACGCGACAAAAGACAATAGAACACATTATAATTATGGCCCTATGATTTCTGCGATGCGGAAAACGCGGACGGAATTGCGGAATCCAGTCATAAAAACAGAATTTACTGTATAACGCGGAATGTCACGGAATTTGTCAAAGTTTGGGTGAATAAATCAAAAGTAGGTCATTACACTTAAATCAAATCGCAATATTGACTGGTATCTGTAAATTTTAAGCTGCAAAAATAACATTTAAATATGAATCCTGCATGTCTCTTTATGAATGAATGGCACAGACGCGCGGTTTCGTTTACTACACACATACTGAAGTGCGAAGTGTTTTCAGCGTCTGCTGTCTCGCTAAATGAGAACATAAATACATGAACAACAGTCAGTGTCTGCTCTATTACAAATAATTTATATTTTAAAAATACCCAAAACAGCGGAATTACAAGATGGAAATATAGACTAGAAAGATATTTAAACTTGCTCTGCCCTTACGTCCATGACATTGACTCACTGCGGAGTTGTTTTGGCAATCTTTCCAGCTCTTAACGCCGAATGTGCTCTTATGGTTTGATACATGATGGGCTAATGTAGAAGCAAATAACTTTAATAAAAAATAACTTTTAAAAATAAACCCCTTTGTATTGCATTGCATATTGTATGTTCAGGGATGACAGATTGAGAAGCAGACATGCTATTTATGACTGGATGTAACTTTTCATACTTTGCAGTAAAAGTGGCTCTCCTATTAACTTTGTCCTATAAGTGCGGCTCTCGTGAAAAAAATAGTGAAGATCACTGCTTTAAGGGGTTCTTTAAACTGGCTGTGTTTTGCTGTGGTTTGAGATTTTTTTTGTTAACCAGATGTTAATATGATGCATTAGTATTTTATTTCTAGAACTGTATTATTTATTTAACTTTAATGATATTTGCAATGCTAAAATTCATGTTAATAGTTGAATCCTACCTTCCATTGCAGATCTGCTGGTCTGAATTTCTCTGTATAGCTTTGTTTTAGTTTTAACTTTCATTTCTCCCCACTGTCCTATATACCTGGTATCTATGAAGGGGAGGAGCCTCAAATGACACTTGCATGCTCAATAACTTTTCACTTGTTTTTCTGTCACCTGATGCCTCTAAGCATTCAGTCATGTGTATTGCAAAACAGCAGAATTCATCATGAATCTGTTATAGCTTTGATTTATTCAAAGCTATTCATGTTCCTATGAATTACAAATGATTTACATAATAATGTATAAGTAAATGAATCCTTTTAGCGGATAATGTACTGCGCTATTGCTGTGTGAGCAAGGTCACACCCTGTATGTGCTTTTTTCTTCTTCTTAAGGAATGTTATTTGAGGCTACTGTAAGTGCAAATTCTACATGGAAAGAACAATTTGCATGTCTCATTTTTCTTTCATTTAAATCATATATGGTGCTCTAAGTGGAATATTTGTTCTCCTGAAATTACATTTACATGCATCTGTTGCTGTTTTTTTTAAATTATTATTATGTTATGTTTCTTTGATTGTTTTGTCAAATTTATTTATCAAGTACTTGGTGCTTCTTCACAAATTTCATAACCTGAACTGAGAATTTCTGAGAAATACATTAAAAGAAAACACTGGCATCACAGCATAAACATGACTTATTTAAATCATTTTCGTTGTTTAAAAATAATTTTATTAAGCTATTTAAACTCCCACTGCATTAGTTTGACTGACTGATATAACATGGATGATTTTAATAGTTTTTACTATTTTACTATTTACTTTAAATAACGTTTTTGCACAAATGCCAGTTCTCAAATCTCAAATAGTCTATAAACTACAGTTAGCAAATGATGCAAACATGCAGCGACGAATGATGGAAACCTGAAGTTTCCCACCAAATCTAGGAAGAAGAACAATCCACACTACAAGTGATAGGGCTGTTTAGATCCCAGATAAAAGAGAAAGAGTTTAAATGAGGTCTCATATTTGCATTGGTGGTATATTGAAAAGAATTTGCACATTCCAGCAACACCCCTCTGTGAAATCTACTTTCAGTTTTACTTAGAACAAAACCAACTGGAAAAAAGTCTGTTTGTCAGGGATTACATGACTCTACTGCTGTCATTTAACGCTTTACACCAACCCTTTACAGTTTCATGTGTGCATTACATTTGTTTAAAATAGACTTATAATTTTGTGATGGAAAGTGTCACTGGCAAAATATCAAAGGTTGATTTTTAACGTGTATGTTAAAACACATATTTAAAGGAATCATATTCATGCTGCACAAACCCAGACTCTGTTGACGCTGTAGGCAGTACTGTAACAATTTATCAAAACTCAGCACTAGATGTGAAAAACCTGTGTTGTGCCAAGGTTTTTATGTAGTAGAGCATTTTATGACAATGACAATGACAGTGACAATTTATTTATATAACACGATTAAAAACAACCCGCGTTGACCAATGTGCTTTACAATAACTAAAACCACAAACAACAAGAACAAAACAATAAGACAGAAACAACTAAAATTGTAAAAGATTACCATAAAAGAAAATGCTTCAACATAATATAAAACAGTAATATACAATAGAAAATGCTTCTAGTATTAAATGCTTTATCAAATAGAAAAGTTTTTAAATTAGATTTAAAAACAGACAAATATGTTGCCAGTCTAATAGAGATGGGCAAATCATTCCAAAGTATGGGGGCTTTTTGAAGCTCAAAGTGGGCAGAGCGGGCTGTCCGAAATTGATTGTAGAACCATTGTCATCAACTGGCTTACGATGCTTTTGGGAAATGCAGCCCTGAAGAGTTTTGTAAATAATAGCCTACTGTAAATGCCCGACATGCCAATAAAGCTTTGATTATGCCAGTGGTTCTCAAACTTGTCCTGGAGTACCCCCAGCCCTGAACATTTTGTATGGCCGTTTCTCAATATGCGTTCTTGTCTGTACTTGTGTTCTTGTGGACTTGTGAAACGTCATCAGTCATCACCCAAGTACTGTTCCAATTCAAAGTTCACATCTAGCCAAGTACAGTTCAAATCCCCGGATGTGTTCTTGCTCCGCCCCTTTTATCAAGGATGCATCCAGAGGTGACTTGTGCAAACTTGAGGCAGCCAGGTATCCCAGAATGCATTTCCCACCAACCAGCAAGCGTTAATGGCGGAGGAGAAAAACCGCATTATTTTCAAAATATTACAGTTATTGTGTCAAGAAATGCAGTTCTAAGAGTATTTCAGGCAAGAATGCAGTTGTTTAAAACTCAAATCTGCGGTTTATTTATAAAGAGAGCGCCTATTTGAAAATGTGCTTTGCCGTTTTCGGAGACGTGAGCTCCACGCGATCAGCGGGCGCTCAGTGCTCATGTATCCGCCGAGAGCAGTCTCACCTCGGCTAGTCCTTCTGACATTTGCCGCTGGCTCTGATAGTGGTAGTGGTTAAACATGAGGTATAATTAATTTGGGGTAAATCTAACAAGCAATCTTTGGTCTCATGAATCTATTATTTCTTCCAGGTCATATCGTTTTGGCTGAGCACAACGTTATGTTTCATAAATTATTTATTTATTAATCGTAATACAGCGCTGACTTTGTTGCATACATTTGACTGAATTGTTTGCTTTTGTCTTATTTCCTATTACATAAGTCTCTTATTTATAGTTATACTTTTATAATGGCTATTATTGTTCATTAAAACTGACATTTAACAAAAAAAAGCAGAGTTGTGCTTGTCATATTTCATTTTATTATCCATTCAGTGAAGATAATCAGAGTATATGTGCACATATACCTAAACTGAACAACTTTGCCTCCGGGAGTAATGCTGTCAATCAAATCGTTCATTAAATAAATATTAAATATTCTCAATTATGTTAAAAACCTATTTTTGCGAACTAGTCCTAGGTTTTTCGCTCAATCTCGATCAAACCACTACAAAACAATTTTCTGGACTCTCTAGATCAATAATTATCAAAAAAGTTGTGAATTTTGTCCTTTGGTTAGCTATAACGGGCTCATTTAGAAAAGGAGCTTGGCCACATATACCCAAAAGCCTATAAAACCTAAAGGAAAACTCAAAATTTTATGAAACTTGGGGAAAACATGTGACAGATGACTCTTAACAAGCATGCAAAGTTTCATAGAGATCGGACCATAGGTGGCGCTATAACAGTTAAAAAGGCCTCAAAACACACAGATTTCTATAGTAAATGATAGTAAACCTCAAATTGCAAAAAAAAAAAAGTTCATATATTCACACAAACACTAGATCTTCATATCATATGATAGATCTCCTCATTCTGAATAACTTTGCCTCTAGGACCAATGCTGTCAATCAAACTATTAATTAAATATTTGAGATTATTTAAAAAAACTACTTTTGTGAACTAGTCGTAGGTTTTAAACTCAAAATCGATACAATCAGTGCAGTACATTTCTCTGGACTTTCTAGATCAAGAATAATCAAAAAATGTTGAAAATTTGCATTTGGACAGTTATAACAGGACCATTTCGTAATATGGTCTTGATCTAGTGTACCCAAATGTCTATAAATCTTAAAATGAAAACGCAAAACATCACAAATCTATGTAAACTCGTGCATTATATTATTCTAAACAATCATGCAAAATTTTATGGAGATTGGACATAAACTGACACTGTAATAGCTATGAAGGTTAAAAACAGTACGTCTATGCTTGCATTACCTGAAAGTACAAATACAACCACTAGGTGGCAGTATTTATATCATTTTTTAGCTCTGATCCACCGCAATGTTCAACTGTCCTGAGCGCATTCACAACATCCAATGAGTGATGTATACGCGTGACAGATTGCTTCCGCTCATGCATCTATTATGCCAGAGCACGTACACGCAGGCGCCGGATGTTGTGAATGCGCTCAGGACAGTTGGACATTGCGGTGGATCAGAGGTAAAAAAAAAAATTATATAAATACTGTTCAGTTTCTTGATATCCTTTTAAGGGGTTAAATAGCAAAGGCATTTGCACCCATTTGTGCGCCCATGGGCGTGTTGGTCTGAAAATGAGGTGTGTTCAGGCACATTGTTGGCGCGTTGCTATTTTGAGGCAGCTGAAAACCACTGCACCATTGATCAACTGAAACCTGTTCTAAAGTCAATGGCGCAATATTTTTATTTATTTATTTATTCATTGTTATTTAAAGACTGCGTTAGTAATATGCGTCTATAGGCAGGTCCACAAAGTACACTTTGCTTATTACACACACAGGGACTCGCAGCATACAAACATTTTTTAATATGAAAAATTAAAGGATTAAAATGTAAAAGATTATTATTGTGTACATAAATATAAAAATTCCTACACGTCATAATGGATAGTCATTGCATGTATCCGAATTAGCCTACCTATTTGCTCGCGCATGAGCAGATCTATTTCAGAAGCGTTCTGTTTTTCCACTTGCAAATTCCGCCATGGCGCGAGCGCAACTGGCTTTAAAAGGGTTAAGGCTAGAAGGGATACGTATGGTGCTACTGGGCATGCGCACATCAATACAGCGTAATTTTTGTCACACTGTACAACAATAATTACAATTTTTTTTATTATTGTAAGGGGTAGGTTTAGGTTTAGGGTTGGGGTAGGTGTAGACGTTAATAAACCACAATCTAATAGGCATAAACATAAAGCCATGCCTGCATTTGTGATCGGAGAAACGACAAACAACAAACAACAAGTGCTACTCTACACTGCTCAAAACTCGCGTTTGAATAGTCAGTGGCAAATTCTTTAACCCTTACAGGGGTCATATGATGCTATTTTAAAGATCATTATTTTGTGTATTTGGTGTAACA